GATGGCAGAATCCTTTCAATCATTTTACCATAATTAATCCAGAATAACAAAACCAGCAGCAAACCAGAATGGAATCAACAAGTAAATGTTTTTTTCCATGCAATAATTGCTCAGCCTGGAGAAGAGAAGGCTCCTGAACGGGAGACCTTGGAGCAGCTCCAGTGCCTAAAGGGGCTGCAGGAGACCTGGAGAGGGGCTTGGGATAAGGGCCTGTAGGGACAGGCCAAGGGGAATGGCTTGAACCTGCCTGAGGGGAGACTGAGCTGAGCTCTTAGGCAGAAGCTCTTCCCTGTGAGGGTGCTGAGGCGCTGGCACAGGGTGCCCAGAGAAGCTGTGGCTGCCCCATCCCTGGCAGTGCTCAAGGCCAGGTTGGACACAGGGGCTTGGAGCAAGCTGCTCCAGTGGAAGGGGTCCCTGCCTGTGGCAGGGGTTGGAGCTGGAGGAGCTTTAAGGTCTTTTCCAATTTAAACCAGTCTGGATTCTATGATGAATAAGGAAGCAGAAATGCTGCAGTCTCTCCCAGATAGATCAAATCCCAGGGTGAGTGTTGTGATGTGCTGGTGTTACTGCGGTGCCATCCTCACCATGTCACAGGCAGGGGGGAGATGGAGAGGAGGGCTGATGGAAACAGTCTGTGGGTTTGAGTTCTGTTCAATTTCATTTTTTTATTAGGGGATATGTCATTTTTTTGTTTTCAGATATGATCATCTGACTGTTATGTGAAGCATTAGGACAGCAATAAGAGTTTTAGCTGAAAACGGGGCCAAAGTCACTGAAGAATTTTGTAGAGTATCTTATTTAATTACAGATTTCATCCTGGAGCAGAGAACTTTCATATAGAGCAAAGCCCTCTGTAGCACCTTCTTTCCCTAACGTCTATATACTCTCATTTTCAGCTCTCGCCTTCTATTTCTGAGCACTAATGCCCATTAATATCCAGAAAGTGTCAGTTGTATCCAAAGTTTCAGTCTATTAAATCAATGAAAAATATATTGGATTTAATATGTTTGGCTTAGGAAATTTGTTTTGTCTGCTGCAGCCTACTGCAGCTTGCTCTGAGCTTACCTCTGTTTGAATTAGAGGGTGCCGGCTCATGTGCAGCTCAGACATTGGCCCATAAGACCGTGAAGCGTAGCTGATTTTTGGAGAAACTACTAAGTAGTTTCTATAGTGATAATGATGTACTATGTGCACCTATTGGGAATATATAAAATTAGAGAGAATTTCTGTTTGCTTTGGTCCTCTTTCTAGAATAATTACAGTAACTGCCATTCATTCCCATTCTGTTACCCTGATTATTCTAGAATAACCTGGTTATTAGGGTTTAGTCGTGTTTAAGAACATACTGCAAAGTGACAACTTGTCATGTTGGTATTATCAATACTTTAAAATTTCCATATTAGTGACCCAATTTCCTCAAGATTTCTGAGTGTTTAATTTGGTGGGGAGAAGGAGGGAGGGGAGTAAATGATGCCTCTTGCCCTTCTCTATTCAAAGTAACCTTAATTTTCCATTCCTGAATAGAAACCTTTCCCTTAGAGACTAAAAAAAGAGTTGAAACAATTACATCTTACAACCCTAAACACATTCTCAACTTGGAAACCCTTCCTCTTCCACTGAATGTACTGGTAACCCTTTTAAGATTTCCCCCTACAAGTGACAGAAGTGCCATTGCTAAATTCAGGGAATTATGGAATCAAGAATTGCTGAGTGGCCAGCTTCAGACCTGTTTCCTAAAATAGCACTTTGTAGCCTTAAAAAGCCACCCTGTTTAATGGAATATATTACCTTTACCAGCACTTTCCCTCTAAGGTGAGTTATCCTCCACAGGGCAGGTGGACAGTAGTAGGTATTTCCACTCTTACTTGAAATTTCCTCTGCCTAGAGGAATTTCTCCTCCAAAAGGACTGAGGTTTAACCAAATGAAGCACACAAAAAGCTTCACGCTGGTGAAGGTGCATATAAAGCTGTCCAGAAGCACACTTAGCTGACGTACTGACAGATTGTGCAATTTTGCTGTGGTAATTACTCAATGGTTCAGCAAATGGTAACTAAATACTTTGGAAATCAAAATGTCTAATTGCAGACGCCCATATGGTATATCCCCATCCATTCCGCAGAAGGTAATGTAACAAGCACACCCAAACCTTCCCTTAATTCCCCCAGCTCAGAAGCCACCAGTGACACAAAACAGTTGTAATTTGGAAGAGTGTTTGGGGAAACAAGATATAAAGAAAAGAGCTTTTGGAAAGCATGATGTGCTACATGCAAAGCTGGGTTACAGGAGCAAGATTGAGCTAATTTTGTCAAGAAAAAATATTAATGCTAATTTTGTCAAGAAAAAATATTAATGTTGCTACTCTAGTGTTCATATAGAAACCTCTTTACTGCCATAGATAGGCCAAAATTATAAAGGTAGGTTCAATATTTGGTCTTTGCAAGCAGGGGAGACAGGTGGATGTGGACACACAAGGTTCATGACACAGGTGATATCTGTGTTGCACCATGCCAGGGGAGCATGGAAGAGCATGGGGCCGCCCACACCAGCTCTGGGGGAGCCCATCACCATGGGAAAACACATTCCCCAAATGCACCAGCAAGTACCAAACCCCAAGGCTGAGCAGGAGAGCAGAGAAAGGACCTGGGCCACCTTCCTCCCGGGTTTCTGCATACTGAAGGATGACCCAGGCAAGAAAAGGAGATAGGAGGACTTTGTCCAATGGTGGCAGATGATGCTGTGGGGTAGAGGAGAGCAAATGAGGTCCTTGCATCCCCTTAAAACTAGAAATGGGGGAGATCATTCTTAAACCAGGATTTAAAATGAAGTCCTTGGTCCCTTTTGCTCCTGATGAGGAGTTCAAAGTCAGGCAACCCAGAAGAAACTCCAAAGAACAGTGTCTTATATAGATGTGAATTAATAATTTTCCAATGTTTCTTTTGGAAGCTCTTAATCTGAAGAATTGCTAAAATCTGACTTCTGTATTTATCCATCCATCCACCCAACCATTCCTATTGCTCCTCCACCAGGTTTTAAGGTCTTTAGAGAATGTTTTTCCCCCTCCATACCTCCTGTTGCACTACTCCGTGCAACATCCACATCTTCAGTTTCCAAGGAGAGGAGCAGCTATCTCAGTGCTCAGAACAGCTCAGCCATGCAGATGAACTGCACATCAGCCAGTTGGGTTTACTGCTTTGGGCTGGCCCTTTGCAAGGTCAGAAGGCGGCAAACCCCTACCTCTTATTTGAGGCAACACCTTAATTTACAAGTGTTCAGACACCCTTAATGAAGGAGGCCTAATGGAATTAATCATTAATTAGGGCTCCTGAACTGGCTTCAGACCTTTTTCCTATACAAGATAGTCCTATGTTCTACATTTTGTAATAACTAGGCTGAAAACCTGCATTACTTACCTCTCTTCTTCTCAGAAGAAACCCAACCCCCCATTATTGTGACTCTCCTCGGGATTAGGGGTTCTTCTTTTTATTTCTTGCTATTAATGTTTAGAAGCTATGAGGATGTATGATTAATGCAGGTAGCGTGACTTTGATATAGGACAAAGTAGCATTAATTGTATGATATACATTATTTTTAAAACAACTACATTGTCTTCATCTTGCATAATTATCTCTTTGTTGCTGTTAATCAGGATTTCCCAAAGTGGCACACAATAAAAAGCATTAAGGTTTGTGTCAGCAGATCCAAATCTGGAATCAAATCTATCTGTACCATCAGGTGCCCATTAGGCTGGTGGAATTGCACATTAAAGGTACTCAGACAATGCAGGCAGTTTTCTCTTGCAGTAACAGGGAGAAAGGAGAAATTAGAGCTCTTGGGCACTGAAGGAAAAGACAGTTCCTGCCCAGTTCATTATATACAAGTGAACAGAGGGAAACAGAGATGAAATATTCACCCATTGATGGTTTTGACCACTGCTCCAGATACTTTTCAGAATATCCTGTCTGCATGAAAATATCCTCAAGGTTTTTCTCACTCAAGTTTTAGCCACAACATTTTACTCTGGTCAGGCAACACTGCACAGAAGGGGCTTCCAGAGCACAGCTGCTGCTGTTTCCTGGCAGGACTGAGTGGTACTTCTGTGATGTGTCTTACGCAGGCATGGCGGTAAGGATGGCCAATGCCCCACTTCAAAGTGTGACAGATGGGTCGAGTACGGAGCAGAGGTCCCAGGCAGAGGCAGAGCCAAGGCCAGGGGATGCAGAAACCACCAAATCATTGGGGCAGCTTGACAGACTGTTGCTCTGGTGCCACTGAGCAGTGCTCAGCCATTGATCCAGGGTCAAGACCTATTTCCTAGAGGAAGAGTGAGCAACTGGACGCAAACCTTCATAAGGACACACCAGGGCTGGTGTGCTGAGCATGAATATAAAGTCCAGCTATAGAAGTTTAAATGGCTTTATGGGAAAATGTTTCCAGCTCCACTGACCGTCTTCATAATGGAGTTAGGTGGGAATTTTTTCCAGGAAGCATATTTCAAGGCAGAAGCACACAGGCTTTGGGCTTTCCTTTCTCTCCTCTTTTCCCCCACTTTCATCCTCCTTCCTTTCTCCCTGTTTCATTTAAAGAAAAGATTAAAAGAACAAGGGACTGTACAGTCTGCACACCATGCCAACTGCCTCTCCAGTGCCCGTCTGGCCTTCCTGTTGCTTCCACAAGAAACACTAGTGGATGGAGTAGAAAGAGAATCCAATGCTTCAGACAAACAATGCAAATGCTGTGTTTCTCTTAGAGTGAACAGGAGGAGGATGAGTGCAAGTGCTGGCCTTCGTCCTTCTGCAGATGTTGTACAGACCCAAAGGCCATGCAGGGAACATGATTCTGTGACTCTGTGATTCTGTGAACATGCAAAGCATGCAGTGAGGCAGGGCAAAGGCACCACACAGCAGGGCTAAGACAAGACTAAGAGCTTTTAAACAAGCAGGAAGGCACATCAGGCCAAAGGAGAAAATGAGCCTGGAGCAGTGAAGTAAGAATGATAATACCAAGCACTTATGTTCAAAGCACTGTACAAATATTAACTAATTAATCCTCAAAGCCCGCTCTGGAGTAGATAAGCAAGTGTTATTATCCCCTTCTTGACAGGGAATCTGAGGCAGCAAGGTTAAGTGTCACGTCCAAGGCTACAGAGAAAGGTTTCAGAAGACATTTTTAAGGGTATAAACACTCAAAACCCAGTCCTATGCTCACTTCAGGAGCTGAGACCATGCTGGAAATCAGTCACCAGTAGGCAGCAAAGAGAAAGGGTCTGAAGATGGGCCACAACTTTGGAGGAACCCTTAACTCCTCTTCGATCACCTTATAACACATTCACTCTTAGCACTCACAGCTTGAATCAGCCTTTTAACTTGGCCAAAGATGATCTTGTGAAAGACCAGGAGGAAAAGAGTCATATGTCTCTTGGGCTTATGCTTGGAGGTTCCCATCCACCTCTTGCTGTCACCTTGAGCATGTTCAGCTCCTCCTGCTATACTGTGTAAGTAATGGTTGTAGTTAGCTTAAAGGTAAACCAGGAAGGAAAATCAATAAATAAAGTTGAGTTGATAGCAAATTAAGAAAGAACTAACTCTGACTTGCCGTGATGCTTTTGGAAGCTGTTGCCCCAAAAGAGGGAGCTCCACCTTCTAGGGAAGCATAAGAGTTGCATTTCTCACGAAATTCCAACCATCTTGTGCAGGTTTCCCAGCAGAAAATCAATTCTTGAGTGTTTTCCATCTGAAGCAAAGGAGGAAGAAGGGGTCTTTCTGGAACCTGACCCAGAAATTAAGTAACAATGGATCAAGGAACTCCAGTTTGACCCACTCCCCCTGAAAAAGGCTTAAGTTGGAAATGTTTCAGGTTATAGCCAATCTCTCAAAGTAATGAAGATTCAGAAGAAGTGCATATACAAAAAGAGATTAACAATATGCAGCCAGGAAAACCCTTTTCTTACCAAAAAGAGTTCATACGTCAAATGTGTTTACTGTTCACAATATGGATTAGAGTGGTATTTCAGTGTATTCTGGAGGGCATGGGGGGGAGGGAGCAAGAAAAGGAATTGTCTATGGTCTGCATTTGTTGCTCCAGTTCCTGTACTGACAGCAAAGGGCCTTTGATTGTAAGATGAATTGTGGAGCAGGAGCTGCAGCTCTGTTTTTTAGCCATCGGTATTTTCACTTGCGCTTTTGACTTCAGGGAGCCCTTTCAGACACAAGAATAGTGAGGTGGATGTAGAGCTCCCAGAAACAATAACAGGAACATTTGCCAATTAATCTATCACACACTGTAGCACAATTTACCTTTTACCCTTCCAATTCTGAAGAGTTACCATACAATTCAAATATCAGATTGTTACTGGATGCAACAAAAATGGGAGGATGCGGGGGTAAAAAAGGGACACATCAATAACAGGACAATGCTTCTAA